GCAATGATTCTATATTCTGTAGAGAGCATGATTTTAGACCATTCTTTTTTATCGTTGATAAAAAAAGTATTGTTTCTATTTATACTTGCTCAAAACTATCAATATTTTATTGTTATTTTTGTTTATTCATGTGCCCAAAACATTATTTGATTTTTGAAAGTAAGCAATGTTCACAATGTAAACAAAAAAAATCTTTTTTACATAAACATTGATATCTGGCCAATATCGCCCGACTAGAATGGGCAAATAACGCCACATGTTTATTTTGATTTTTGATATTAAGATTTTGTGTATAGTGTTGTAATTGCACTCGAAGCTTGTAATTTAATGTTTTTGCTCTCAATTTTACTTTAAACTAATGTTAAAGTTTAAAAGAATGAAACAAAAAATGTAAATTTTAAAATTCTTAAAAATTATTTTTTAAGTTGCTGCGCTAATTGCGCATTTTGTTATTGTTATCTCTTCATAACCTCATTATTTTATTGTTTTAAACTTATAGATGTTTATAAATACTTTCGTTGCACTTGACAAATAAAATATAGATTATCCAATTAATTTAAAAAATTTTGTTAGAAAATTTGTCAAATATTATTTTTGTTCTTTTTAGAATGACTAAACCTAAAAAAATAACTATTAGGGCAAAATGGAAAACAGAGGATTTGAAAAAGGCACTATATTCTGTTAGAACTGGAAATTTAGTAGCGGCAGCATCGCAAGATTATAACATTTCTCATAGATCTCTCAGAGACTGGTTAACGAGAAAGGATAGATCACCAAAACGTAAACTAGGTCGAGAGTGCATTATTCCTGAAACAGTAGAATTTGAGTTGAAACAAAGAATATTTCATCTTCAAGAAATAGGATTTAGTATAACAAGAATAAAACTTAGAAAATATGCATATGAAATATGTACTCAAAAAAATCTGCCACATCGTTTCAAGAATGAATTTGCTGGTACTTATTCTAATAGTTTTTAATTTTTATTTTATATTCGAATTAAAAAAAAATTAATCAAAATCAGTTTTGTCCATATATTTAAGTGAAATATTAAAATTAAAATAACTATACTAATGAAATAAATAATTTCAGGCAAAGATTGGCTTGCAGGATTTTTCAGATTTCTTAATCCTGATGTTGCTCCTAGGAAATGTGAAAGTTTGAGTTATGACATGCTAATGTGATTCAACGCTGAAACTGTTCAAAACTTTACAATCTTGTTGATAAAGTCTACGAAAAACTAAATTTGGCATACCATCCTGAATTGATTTACAACATCAATGAATCTGGATTGCAACTAACAATCAAGGCCGACGACACCAAGGAGGAGGGGGGTTTCTCTTCTATTTGCATGACTAGCTGTGCTCTATTTGCACAGCTACTCATGCAAATACTGTTACTATAGTTGCATGTACAAATGCTACTGGAACCAATTGGATTCCACCTATCATTTTGTACAAAGGAAAAAATTCAAAACATGAGTCTGGGGATAATACATGAGTACAATAATTTGCCACCTGGAATTATTTTCCCCATGACTCCAAAAGGATATATTGCCAAGGAAGAATTTGTACTTTTTTGCGTCATTTTAACCAGCACCAATTACCAGGAAAAGCTTTGTTATTTTTTGACAGACATTGTAGTCATTTGGATATATCTGTAATAAAGGAAGCCGAAAAGTTAAACATCCATATGCTTTATCTTCCAGCGCATCGCAGCCACGAACTTCAACCTCTGGACAAAAACGTTTTCAAACCATTAAAAACTTACTGGAATGTCTCCATTTCTGAAGAAATTTTCCTGGACAATCACTGTCAAAACTGCAATTTCCACTATTATTTACTGAAGCTTGGTTGCGTACTGCTACAACAGCAAATGTTGTATCAGATTTCAGATCAATAGGAATCTATCCTTTCAACCCTAATATTATCCCCTAAGTAGCTTTTGTACCCAGAGAAATTTCTAATCGCAAAAACGACAAATGAAAAAAAGGTGATTGGATTCAATACGTCAGATGCAAAACTTGGTTCCATGAGCAGTGTTACACAGGAAGCATCATAAAAAGTGGCATTAGCAAGTTGTGCAAAGTAGGGTGTACATCAAGTAGCGAAAGTGACTTAACAATTAGATTTGTAAGTTAAGCAATATGATTTTATGAATAATGATTCAATTTTTATTCGTTTTTTTAACGTAATCTGCGTTATGAATAACGAAATATAAAAAAAGTGTGGGTGGCGATATTGGATATTGCCATTAGTACCGTTATAAGAAAAATAATATTTCCTTGAAATTATTTTAGGTATGAGAAATAAATTAATGATATTTCTAGAGCTAAATAATCATATTACCTAATCAAAATAAGATTTTTTCAAAAATGCAGAATTTACATAATAATAATCAACTAAATATATAAGGGTTGCGTTATTAGACTACTTTACCATATATATTTACTTTACTATATATATATATATATATATATATATATATATATATATATATATATATATATATATATATATATATATATATATATATATATATATATATATATATATATATATATATATATATATATATATATATATATATATATATATGTTTATACGCATTTATAATTGTTATAGGAAAATATAATAAAATAATTTATTTAGCCAAGATTCATTTCTTCACGTATGATCATGATTGGTCAATTTTATTTTTTGCTTAAGAAAAGCAAAAATAATGTAGTAATAATTCGTTGTTTTTAAGTATTTTTAAAGTATTTTTAGTATTTTTTAAAGTGTTTAAGATATTATACCAAAATTACTATATATTATTAGTATATATTAATATTAAATAACTATAAATTTATAAGTTTTTTTTACATTAACATTGACCATCTTTGATAACATTCTAGGTTAGCAGCTGAATCTGGTAATTTAAATGGCTTCCACTTCACATAGGCTTTTAAAATATCTTTATGGTTTAAAAAAAGTTTAAGAGAAAATGTTTGCACCAAAGTTTTGGTATATATGTGGAGGTGTTTTTTACAAATTTTCAAAATTATTATAGGACGTCCAAAATGATATGACCATATTTATCAATATTATTGAATGTTTCCAAACTAAAAATTGAAAAAATAAAATCGTTTTGTTTCTGGTTATTAAAACTAGATTTTGTAGATATTTTTGATGATAACTTTTAAACAAATATTATTGTATTGAGAAACTCACTTTTCCTGCCAAAATACTATCGCAGCTCTTAGACCACAGGGATGAGTGGCTGAAGGGCCATGGCCTTTTACAGTTTTTTTCAAAAGAACCTTTTTTTTCCTTTTTTTTTTTTTTTTTCTTTTTTTTTTTTTATAAAGAAGGTTTTTAGCATTACTTTAATTATTATTTTATGTTATTTTTGTGTGTCAACCCCCTCTAATGAAATAATAATTTGGGGATCATGCAACTTTCATTTGAATTCATTTACACGATACACGGTTCATTAATTTACACTGATTTTTTTTCAAAAAAAGATTATTATTTAAGGCTAATTTGATTTTCAAAATGTCAAACAAAGCTTTTTCACATAATGAAAAATTACAAACACTTGGGAAGATTAGATCAAATGCCCAAAACTCGTTGCTTTTGGTGTTCATTCACATAAAAAAACAAAGCTCTCTGCAGCTCAATTCAAAAGTTGCTTGAACCTCCCTTTGATTGAACTTCCAGGTAACACATTTGTTCTTGGTTTCTTGAAATCATGGAATTGCACATGGTTTTTGGAACCGCCTTTTTGATCACTTGAACGCTATCTTGAATCAAGCAGCTTCTTTTTTCTTTAATCCTATAAACTGGTCAAATAAATTAGGCATCAAAAGCTTTGCAATGCATGAAGGGAAATTCAATGGTTCCGGGAAATTCATGGTCAGTGTCAAGAACTCTTGAATAAAATTGACTTGGTTGAATCATTACTAGCAAGTGTTAAAATTCGAAACAATGATAATTGTAGAGCTTTCAATAAAGTTGTAAAATCTCTGGTGCATCATGGTCTTGATCCCAAGACTCCATCTCTTCATTTGAAATTGCAAACAGAGATCTTGAAATTTCAATCACTCTAAAAGTGCATGCTGTTATCCAGCAGATAAATCAATTTTTTTGAAAATCAGCCCAAAAAGCATGACACTGACTTGCAAAATTTGAGCAGCCGTGGCGCAGTGATAGCGCACTTGCCTCAGAAACAAAGGATCCGTGGTTCAAACCCCACCTCTGGGCAAGTTTTGCGATATCGGTTAGGAAGGAGGCGTGAACTTTCGATTAAATGCTCATCCGCGGTGCTCTGTGATAAGACCGTAAGGACTTCTTGGGGCACCTAAATAAAAAAATAAATAAAAATAAACCCTCAAATACTCAAAACAATTTTTTAAAAGGACTTGGCTTTTATAATGAACAAGCATTAGAATCCGTTTGTTACGATTCTATTTAGCAATGGGAATCTGGTGCCTACAAAAGAGATATTTATTTAGAATACAGCAAAAAACTCAAAGAATGTGTTATTGCATATTGTTCAAGATATATATATAAAGAATAAGAAGAATAAATAGCAACTGAAATAATTTTTACTGAAAAATGCAACATTTTTTTAAGAATGCATTTCATTGTTTTCGTAGTTCAAAAAATCTGTTAATTTTATAGACATTTTTTTCTTTTGTTTTTTTTTTCTTTTAGGAAAAACCGCTAGGATACATTATTACACAACATATTTGTGAAGTATGAGATAATTTGAAATGGACTTATCTTTATTTTATGAAAAATATAGATTTTTAGGATTACAATTTTTTTCGAAATTTAATTAAAAATAGAAAACGGTCATAACTTTTTTTGACGTCCTTAAATAATTTTGAAAATTTGTAAAAAACACCTCCACATATATACCTAAACTCTGGAACAAACATTTTTCTCTTGAACTTTTTTTTAACCCTATAGACATTTAAAAACATATGTGAATTGTAAACTAGTTGTATTTATCATTAGGTTTTCCTGCTATAATTGTTGTCATTACTGGAGTTTCCAGACCAGATCAATTGGGAAACGAAAAAGTGTGAGTTACTAATATTTGAAAAATTAAAAATTGTGTCTATTCAAAATTTGTTTATTCTTTTATCTTTATTTCAGATGTTTAGTTCGAGGATATTCGTTTTATTTTGCTGTTCTTCTTCCTGTCTGTCTGATATTGATTGTAAACCTTGTTGTGTTAATAATCACCATGCTAAGCTTGTCGAAAAGAGTTAAGGCCGGTAAAGAAGTGACGGCGACAAAAAATTATTTATCACAAATAAGAATAGCGTTTATTTGTGCTACTTTACTTGGTTTGTCATGGTTGTTTGCAGTTCTAGCAATTAAAGACCTCTCGGTGATTTTTCAGTGGATATTTTGCATTACAACATCGCTTCAAGGCTTCTTTATTTTTATATTTAACATATTGAGACAAAAAGATGTCATGAATGAATGGCGGAAATGTTTTGGAGGTTATCGGCAATACAGTGTTGCATCTTCGTCAAATAATCCAAAATCTTCCGAAATGAAATCTATGAAGCCAATCGTTTCAAAGAATTTAAAGTCTTAAAGATAAAATCTAGCTAAGTTAAAACGAATCTCTAAATATAAAGAAAGCGAAAACCGTGATACTACAAAAATATTTTGTGCTTAAATATTTATAAAAATGCTATTATTATTTTTTATATTTGTTTTTGTTTTTGTTTTTTAATTAATATATCCAAGTATTTACTTTTTTTCTTTCATATATATATATATATATATATATATATATATATATATATATATATATATATATATATATATATATATATATATATATATATATATATATATATATATATATATATATATATTTATATATATATATATATATATATATATATATATATATATATATATATATATATATATATATATATATACATATATATATATATATATATATATATATATATATATATATATATATATATATATATATATATATATATATATATATATATATATATATATATATATATATATATATATATATATATATATATATATATATATATATATATATGAAAGAAAAAAAGTAAATACTTGGATATATTAATTAAAAAACAAAAACAAAAACAAATGATGGTAGATTAACTACGTTGGGCCGACGTAGTTTTAGCTCATCAGAATGATGTAGGCCCGATGTCGTTGGGTCGATATCAGTAAAACGACGTTGGGCCGATATCAGTAAAATGATATCGGGCCGATGTGAATTAAATGGTATCGGGGCGAGATCAGTAAAACAACGTCGGTGCGAGATCAGTAAAATGACGTCGGCCGAGATCAGTAAAAGGACTTTAGCCCGCTTTAATTTTGATCAAAAATGAGATTACAAAAGCGACTATTATTCATAGCAATTGTATATTAGAATGGGAAATAATCGAAAAATACATAATAAAATGACGAAATAATTATTTGTTTTTCAATTATTATCGTAACTATTTTCTGTACAATTTAAATAGTTATTAAATAATAAAATATAAAAAATTGTTAACAGCAAATATTTCACCGACTTTCGAAGCATGTCGATATACAGTTCGCTAATTATACAGTTGATTTAATGTTATTAGTTATAACTAGGGTGTTTCTGCATCGCAGGATATTTTTCATCTTTATGTATCTTCATTGTTTAATGAAGAATTGTTCTTACAGGGTTATTTATTCTTATATTCGCGTATATTCATTTTTATATGCGTGTTTGTTCATTCTTATTTGCACCTTTATTCATTCTTATATGCGCATTTATTTATTCTTACATGCGCATTTATTTATTCTTATGTGCGTTTTACAAAAGCAATTGTAAAAAAGCATGTTGAACAAAAAAAAAAAAAAAATCATTTAGGCAATTTGTTTTAAAAAAAACAGTTTTTTTTTTCAAAACAATTTGTTCTTATTTCATGGAAAACGCGGTTAAAAATACTTAAGACGAAGACCTTTTACATTCAATGATGGTTTATTTAATTTAATATTAGTTCTTTGTTTAATTTTTTTATTATTAAATTTCTTGATTGATTAAGTTATTATTTATCTAATTATTCATTTATCTAGATTTAGATTAAATTATTTACAATTATTATTAATACCAAATTTTTACCCTATGGATGGAATAGAAAATAGCAGTACAAATCGTAAAACAAGGAAAAATTATTGATAAAAATTGGTAATAAAACTATTGATAAAAATTGGTAATAAAACTATTGATAAAAATTGGTAATAATAAAAACAATTAATTTCAAAATCTTTCGATAGAGGAAAAAAATTTGAATTTTTTAAAAACCACCTGCATCAAAATTTCCAGTCAAACTATTTTAATAATAAAAAAAGCAGACCAGCTTTTCTTCTTTCCAAAAAGTATCTTTTTAGAAAAAGCATCTTTTTAGAAAGAAACTCCACAAAATTACGTCTGCCTCACGCTGCCTAAAAAAGAGTTAAAAAAACAAGAACCAAAATTTTAGGCTAAAAATCGATTCCGTAAATCGCAATTTCCGCGTACCTAAATAAAAGTAAATAATATTCATATAACATTTGCTCCATTGCAGATCCAGAAGATACTTTTCTTAGTCTAGCCTCTAAAATTTCCATTTTCTGCCATGATTCTATTGTCAAAATAACTCCATCTGGCAAACTTTTTTCAATATTTATATTTGTTTTTAAAAACCAAAACTAATAACAAGACTTGTAAGTTAAAAAATAAAATCATGAATCAAAAAAAGACGACGATTTATTATTTTTTTATTTTTATTTTTATTATATATAACAAAAATAAATATATAAACAAAAAATAATAAAAAATAATACTTATAGTAAAAACTTCTTAGCAATGCACTTTTGTAATTTTGTTTTAGATTTATTGATTTATAGTAACTATAAATGAATAAATCAAAAACATAATTACAAAAGCGTATTGGTTAGGGATTTTTATATATTAATTAAAATAATGAAACTTACGATTTGTTTGTGTTGACTATTTTAACTTAAATAAATCTTTCGTCCACTTCTACGCGCGATACAAACTGGCATGTTTCTCGTAAAACCACTTCTTCGCGTGATACAAACTGTTTTAATGCTATTAAAACCATTTTTTATCGTGATACTAACTGTTTCAATATATTATTACTTTTATCACTAACTTTCATAACAAGCAGTTTGTTTTCAAAAGTACGCGATATTTATACAAATTACCATAGCGTGGTTAAAAAAGAAAAAGACCTATAAAATTACAAACAACTGTTTTGCAAATCAAGTAAAAGTTTTTTGCAAATGCAAGCAAAATTATTGAGCGTGGTTCACTTCCATATCTAATACTTACAATGCTTAACCATAATTAAAAAATTTAATAAAAACAACGCAAAAAATAAATAAAAAAACCTAAAAACAAAAACGTAATAAAAAAAAAAAAAGTTCATTTCCATTTTTTATACTTATAATGCTTAAACGTAAAAAAAAAAAAAAAAATAACTACAAAAAAGTATATATAAACGTAAAAAAACGTAATATAAAAACACGTAAACAGTATTTTGTTCAAAAGTTTGCCAAGAATTTTTCTTTTACAGTTTTGTCTAAAAATGCAGACCATAAGTAGAATTTTTTTACTAAGTATTTACTCTAGCCATAAATACTATTTTTAAATATTTTAATAGTGTACATTATTTATTAAGTATAGAAGTAAAAAAAAAACAAAACTAAAAATAATTGGATATTATTAAGCTAATTTTTAAACAACGGAACAGTAACTGTTCAGTAGTTTAAAAATTAACACAATGAAAATGAGAAAACTAGCACATGTTGGCCCGACGTCGAGCCGACGTGTTATATTTGGCTAAAAAATTTACTTCAGCATAACTACGTTTCAAATGCGCATTTTGGTTTTCTGCGCTTTGTTTACTCAATTAACGAGTAAGCTAAGCGCAGAAAACCACTACGCACATTTAAAACATTGCATTTCCTACGTTATGCGGACGCAATTTTTTAGCCGATATAAAACACGTTGGCCCGACTGACATAAATTTCAGTTTCTTATGAGTTAGTTGAAGTAATTATAAATATATTCCATTTGCCATAAATCTAGCTTCATGACATGAAGGGGGTTGATGAAGGTAGAAAATTGGTACTTCGTTACCCAAATAGAAAGAACCTAGTTCACATAATATTATACAGTCTGTACTCATCTTGGAATAGTTTTCAGGGTAATGACGTTTCCTAAGTTTTCTTCTCGTGCAATCTGATGAATATAAGAATTGTTTTTTAAAATGTTCAAATTAAATCTGTCGAATGAGCCAATGTCTTCATTGCATACCTGAAAATTTTCATACCAATTTTTTTTTAAATTTAAGAACATTTGTTTTTTGGTGCCTTAGTTTTTCCTGTTAGCGCTTGCACTAAATGACTGATGTGTCTCTTATATATATGTCGACGACTTAAAGCCACATAATGTGGCTTTAACACATTTTAACGGTAATATTATTTTAAGATGCCATTTGTTATACAATTTAACATCAAAGTGAAGCAAGAGTTTCTAACCGATTAAAGAGTTTTAATAACTATTTCTAATTTCTTTACCTTTGTTTTTGATAGTATAAAATCTTTCTCTGTGGGTTTTTGACAAAACAATATCTTCCAAATTATGCCCTGCATTGTTTAGAATTAAAGAAAGAATTACTGTATGAACTGTATGAACTCCTACACCAAGATGAAATTTTATAGCGACTTCACTTGTTGCTTTTAATAATCTGTCCCCTAATATTAACAGGTGTAACTCTTCAGATAAACTATTTAAAATTTTACCTTTTCTTTTAAAAGTTTTATTAATTTGCCTGCACTGAATTTCTTTGCAACATAAGCCGAATTTTTCTGTTGGTTAATTTGTGACATAGCCCACGAACTACCCCACATGGTTGTCTAATGAAACTACTAAATAATGTATATATATATATATATATAAAAACACAATTAAAAGTAAAAACTTTTATTTATATATATTTAAGTTTATCTTATTATTATTATCATTATTATTTATTTACCAAAAAATAAATAAACTGACATTAAGTGTTAAATGCGAAATCAAAACTTCTTCTAATCTTCCTTAATCTTCCCTAATTTCTGTTTTAATCTGTTTTATTCCTTATCTTTTTAACATTATCTTTTTAAGTTTTAATTTAACATTAAATCTTTTTAAGATTTGTTTGCTTTTTTCATTTTTTGTTTAGCTTTAAAATCTTATCTCTAATGGTCCAACTTTTTATCAAGTCTTTTAGAAAACACGCTCTGCCCCAGATATTTACTTCTTTTTTGACAAGGCAATTTTTAATACTTGTTTGCTCTAGGAAGTTGAAATTTAAGCTGACACCCTTTCTCAATGGAGCAACATTTGATTTTGTTGACTTATACCTTAATTGGTTTGAGGAAATAATAAGGTAATATCTTCTTAAATGTCACCATTTGAGAGCAACTGGTATTCAGAAGATCTAAATTGTGTCTGTTTTAAAGATACAATGGTCTCCTTGGGTTTTCTACCACATTGTTAAACTTTTTTTTTCATATCTTCAAATTTTCCTTTTTTACTGCTTGTTCTTCTTCATTATTTATTGTTTATTTCTATATTACTGATTATTTATATATCA